GGGCATTTGACTTTGAATTTAGCTACCATTTGTATATTGTATTCTTTTTGTGATGACGTGATTGATTTTTTAGATTTGCGTGTCCTCATTGACTCTTCTCTCGTTGTAGCGCTGGTGGAAACGCTTGTCAACTGTAAGTCATTGTATTACGCGCTTTTTTGTATTGCGGTATTTTGGTACAGTATCCACAAATCCCAAACTCAGATCTCCCGGAGAAGTTCGAGACTTGCTTCACTGGTTCTTTGAGAGAGATTATTTCATGTTCACATGTATTATTGAACTTTCCTTAGGACAAAAATAACGTATGGACTTTTTAATTTTCTTACTTTTTTCTAAAAAGAAGCAGGGTCGCCATTTTAGCTTGATAAGATTTCTGAAAAACCAAAGCTATATTATTGTAGTTAATGTCATTTTTAGGGGAGACTAGTATCTACAACTAGCTAGCATTTTATCATTGGAAATAATAATTAGAATAATCTTATTTGAAATTGTTAAAATTATATTAGAATTAATTATTATGATAATCTTTTGTAAAAATTTAATATGAATGGGCGAAGTAATCAAATCTTATATTAATTTATAAGATTAAAACATATAATAGTTTTTATGTATAAGTAAAATAAGAAAGGCAGTAGGATTAATAAATAACCAAATAACAACAATCAAACACTGAATATGTGGATATAAAAAATAACATACAGGAAAAAATGATCAAAGTAAAGTGGTGTATTTTAAATAAAGGTATTCATGAGATATGTCCAGAATAAATAGTGTACAATTTATAGTATATTAGCGGATGACTCTAATAATTAAAGTTCTCAATTTAAAGTACTGTAGTATAGCAAGATCAGAGCGACAAGTGCTGTCTCCATGCAGGTTATATGATATCATAAGATGCTTCTTTGTGACGAGTCAGATCTTGGGTGTTCAGCCAGTGCATGTGAGCAGAGAGTGTGTCCGAACAGTAAAGTCATTGCAATTATTATTAAAACCATCTCGCTTATTATTGACTGATTACCAATCTAAAACAATTGGGTCTTTTTTATCTGTTTCACATTCGGCCGACTCTGGTGCTCCATAGAAGAGCTGTCTGGTGGCCTCTTGTGGCCCAGTTGGCGATATCAGACATGAGGAGACATACATCAATGTGTCTTCCAGCTCTGTAGACACGTTATCCATGGAGGGCCGAACATCAACATAAGTAGAGTCTCTCGAAATCGGCTTCTGGTGTTGCATTCTCTGATTGACCTGTGCCCATATGTTCTCCCATATGTGCAGTGTCTTACAAGGTTATAACTCAATATATACCCACAGCACAGATTGTTATGTGTGTATATACTTAAATGACATCTTCTAATACTACAATTTCGTATTGTGGAAGTTGTCCATCGCTTTTACGTCTTACTATTTAGAACAATAATTTAATTTTTATTTACATTGATTAATTACAGCCTCGCTCACAATTTATGTGTAAACTGTTTTGCGTGTTCTCTCTCATTTTAATGTGTTATATTAAGGTTTCTAAAGAATGTAACCGGAGTTTGGCTAATTCCTATTCAAGTCTATTATCTGTCAGTTCCTAACAGCAAGTCCACAGTGTGATTTTAAAAAAAAGGCCTAGTACGCTCTATAATTCCAAATGTATGTCTGAATGACATTATGTTCACCTAGTACTACTATGTATTTCAGGTGTTTGTTTTACAAAGCTACAGAAACCTTTATATGTTGTTTTGCTGATTTTGCAAGAATGACCTTGAAGAGCTCTCTCAGTGTCTTGAGAATACATATAACAGACATCATAGTCACTGCAACAAGTCAATAGCTCAGTGGACGCTCTGGGTTTTCTTGGTGAGGTCATTGATATGTACCTGATGTCAACCAATCTCCGTCTTGCCATCATCCGAGAGGGAGGAGGAATTCTTACGAAAACGATGTCATGTGTGTCGCTACAAAATAGTAATACAGGTAGGTTTCTGAACTCAAACAAATGTGACTGAGTAGTTGCAGAAAATTAAATTTAAATTTTGTGATCGAT